TACATATAGGTTGTACCAGACTAAGGGAAATATAACTGTTTAATTTTTAATTTTTGACGCTCTCATCAGTAACAATTTGTTTTCATATCTTAACATCATTTATTATATTTTGAAGGGTAAAATGTTAGATGTGGCTTAACCGTCTGGTCGACAGACAATTTTAAGTTTTGATGTTTGGTAGTCACTTATCGTCGATTACTGGATAGAACATGGATCCCGTTGGTGTGTACATACATATTGCTGACGATTAATGTTTTCGATTTGAGTCCTAAGTTCCTGTAGTCGGCTTTCATAACCGGAGATCGGTTTTTATGGTTAGATAACATAAAAAATATTCTAAATGAATGTGGCTTAACATATATTTAGAATGCACAAACTTTTATTAATTTGAATTGGCTGAGTTTGACAGTTAGTAGAAACCTTAAAGATCAATTTGAACAGAATTGGCACTTATTGTTAGAAGAATCATCCAAAGCTGTAAATTAGTGAATATTTAAAGATAATTTTAGTTCGGAAGTTTATTTAGATATTTTAGATAACAAAAAAGAGGGACGAAAGATACCAGAGGGACAGTCAAACTCATAGATCGAAAACAAACTGACAACGTCATGGCCAAAAATAAAAGACAAACAGACAAATAATAGTACAGATGACACAACATAGAAAACTAAAGACTAAGCAACACGAACCCCACCAAAAACTGGGGGTGATCTCAGGTGCTCCGGAAGGGTAAGCAGATCCTGCTCCACATGTGGCACCCGTCGAGTTGCTTATGTTATTACAAATCCGGTAAATAGTCTAATTCGGTAAGTCACATTCGTGAAAAGGGAAGGGTATTGTAGTTACGACATAAGGAACATATCCGATATCATCTGTGAAACGGTGATTCCATAACGGTCAACCAACTCGTGATGGCGTCCGTAAAATTTACGAAGGGATGACTTCAACTTCACCATTTGGAACTCTTGGTTTAATAGCTTCCTTGTGAGCAGCAATCCTCTATCAAGGAAATCATGATAGGAAACAAGCCCGGCAATATCGTATCAATTGGGAGATATATACTCCGTATGCAGGCGCTGCTGGAATGTTGCTACATAGAAATGGAAAGTTCACAATTGGGAAGCTGAAATCTTCTCTTTTGTCGTAAAGTTTTGTTTTCAACCGACCCTCATTGTCAATTTCTAGATGTAAGTCAAGATATGAGGCAGACTTAACTGTATCTGTAGTATCCTTTATCTCTAGTTCGATGGGATAGATTCGTTCAACATAGTCACCAAATTTTGTATTATTTAGTGAGAGAACATCATCTATATAGCGGAACGTAGAGTTAAAGGATTTTACTAACTTCTTATCTCACTTCCTAAGAAGCTCCTGTATGAAGTCAGCCTCATAATAATAAAGAAACAAGTCGGCAAGAAGAGGGGCACAATTGGTTCCCATTGGAATTCCGACAGTCTGTTGAAAAACACGTCCTCCAAACGTAACAAATATGTTGTCAATCAAGAAATCAAGCATCTTGATAATGTCAGTTTCAGAGAATTTTTTGTTTGAATCAGAGTGATTCTTTACAAAGTAGGATTTATCCCTCCCCAAGACAAGATACTTGTATCTACGTTCGCCATTCTTTTTAATGAAACAAAGTAATACCAACTCTTTCAATTTGTCTTTTAGTTTGGAATGGGGAATACTTGTGTAAAGTGTAGAAAAGTCAAATGTTTTAATACTATTGCAAGATGAGAGAGTCTTAGATTGTATGTACTCTAAAAGATCTTTGGAATTTTTTAGTATCCACATCTGATTCACGCCACCTCTAGAATAGGCAGTTTCACAATAACTTTGGAGCCCGGCTTTGATTGCTGATAAAATAGATGTTAATAATTTAGAAAGAGGTTTCGTGGAGCACTTGGAAGACCCAGCAATATACCGTTGTTTGTAAGGACACTTATGTAGTTTAGGTATCCAATACAGTGATGGAAGATCCAGTTCTTCGTCTTTGGTTGAAATTCCAAAGGAACATAGAACAGACCTATGATTATCTAGGATTTCCTCTTTGGTAAGTGTCGTGAGGGTATATGTTGAGTTTCCAAGTGAATTGTCAATACCTAATTCATTTATCAAGCAGTTTATGTAATGATATTTACACACAAAAACGATGTTGTTTGGGGCTTTATCTGCGGGGACAACAACATATTTGTCATGGAGGTAGGACAAGTGTTTTGCAACATTTGGGTATTTAAAAATTGATGTAGCGTGGGTACTGATATGCCCATTTAGTTTCTTAATTCGGATTTGTATCAACGACCTCACAGCCTTAACCCATTCGGAAAGAGTATCTACGTCTTCTTTCTCGCGTTTAGCCCATTGCCTGGCATAATCCTCGACTGAATCCATCAGTATTTTGAAGTTGTATTTCCAATTGATGGATTTAGGCTCACGATATTTCGGACCTTTGGATAACAAATTTCGCAGGGAAGTGTTATCGACAATGTTGAGGTCTCCGGTAATAACGTGGCCAGCCGGATTATATGTGAATTGGGAACTAGCACAGGTGCAATCAGGAGGTTTAGACTTGAAGTCGTCAATGTTGAGATCCTGCAAAACGTGTTTGTAATTGAAAATTTTAGTTGCAATTGGTTTGGTATAGGTATAAGAAATTATTGGTACAGACTGATCTTTAAAATAAGGAGGTATTTTCGACTGAACTAATTTATGATGAAGGATATTGCCTAAGTTGACGCCATCGAGACCTTTGTTGGCAAAGGAAAGTTTTAGAAAAGATCTTTTCTCTTTTTCATCCTGGTTTGAAAGGTCTGTGACTTGCAATATCCGAAATAATAGCTGTAAGTTTGTATTGGTTTGAATGAGGGTTTGTAACAGTGGTTTCCAAACATAAATTGAACAGAGAACGAAGTTTTGAAAGGGGTAATGAATACAGTTTCGTGCGAATGTGATGAATACCTAACGGCTTTTGTATAAATGGCAGCAAGTCATTAATAGAGACATCATCCAAAGTAGGTGATGTATAATGACGATGACCATGACTGCGTCTACGTCGAGGAGTAGAGTTGAAAATATTAATCACATTCACCGAGCTACAGGAAGGACTAGATAGAATACCTATACCATCAATTTTGTCATTGCAACCATATGGTGTCGCAGTTCCCAATTGTCGAATCCAGTAGTCCTCTTTTTGTCTACGGAGAGGCGTTGCAAGTTGAGGATTGTTAGTCTTGTGATATATTTTTTCGATTATACGAACTGTCATAGAAAGGATGGAATGATCAGGCTGATTAAAATGCTGGTACAGAATGTCGTTTGCATTGAGGTTGATATCTGATCTATGGCCGCACATACGTTTGTTTAGCCTTCCTTTCGTTTCACCGACGTAAACCAATCCACAAAGGTTACACTCTAATCCGTAGACGACATTTATAGATTTACAATTCAGATCATCGTAACTTCTAGTAAAGTAAGACTTTTTAGTTAAATTGCTAGTGAATTGAGCGTCTGTTATTAAAATTTCACAAGTTTTGCAGCCATTAGTTCCACATTTCGAAATGAGACAGTGTTGTTCAGAGTCATCAAAATCCAAAATGTCTTTAAGGAGAACTGAACATGGCTGTGTATGTGTACTATTGCTATTGTCACTAGTATGATGATCTGAATGAGTCATGTTTGGGATATTTGTCATGTCTGGAGATGAGGGGACACCTGCCTTATCAGACGACACCGTGTCCATGGTGACATCTGTTTCGGACCTTTTTATACTGGGCGACGTCCGAGCCAGTATCCTGTTAGATCTTCGTAAATTCATGCAATTTTGCTACTGGGCGGATGATGTCCTCGGGGAAAAAATGTCCACCAGCAGAGACATCGACCCAGTGGTTATAAAAGAGGGACGAAAGATACCAGAGGGACAGTCAAACTCATAGATCGAAAACAAAATGACAACGTCATGGCCAAAAATAAAAGACAAACAGACAAATAATAGTACAGATGACACAACATAGAAAACTAAAGACTAAGCAACACGAACCCCACCAAAAACTGGGGGTGATCTCAGGTGCTCCGGAAGGGTAAGCAGATCCTGCTCCACATGTGGCACCCGTCGAGTTGCTTATGTTATTACAAATCCGGTAAATAGTCTAATTCGGTAAGTCACATTCGTGAAAAGGGAAGGGTATTGTAGTTACGACATAAGGAACATATCCGATATCATCTGTGAAACGGTGATTCCATAACGGTCAACCAACTCGTGATGGCGTCCGTAAAATTTACGAAGGGATGACTTCAACTTCACCATTTGGAACTCTTGGTTTAATAGCTTCCTTGTGAGCAGCAATCCTCTATCAAGGAAATCATGATAGGAAACAAGCCCGGCAATATCGTATCAATTGGGAGATATATACTCCGTATGCAGGCGCTGCTGGAATGTTGCTACATAGAAATGGAAAGTTCACAATTGGGAAGCTGAAATCATCTCTTTTGTCGTAAAGTTTTGTTTTCAACCGACCCTCATTGTCAATTTCTAGATGTAAGTCAAGATATGAGGCAGACTTAACTGTATCTGTAGTATCCTTTATCTCTAGTTCGATGGGATAGATTCGTTCAACATAGTCACCAAATTTTGTATTATTTAGTGAGAGAACATCATCTATATAGCGGAACGTAGAGTTAAAGGATATTGCTAACTTCTTATCTCTCTTCCTAAGAAGCTCCTGTATGAAGTCAGCCTCATAATAATAAAGAAACAAGTCGGCAAGAAGAGGGGCACAATTGGTTCCCATTGGAATTCCGACAGTCTGTTGAAAAACACGTCCTCCAAACGTAACAAATATGTTGTCAATCAAGAAATCAAGCATCTTGATAATGTCAGTTTCAGAGAATTTTTTGTTTGAAAAAAATCGTGAGGAATTTTGCAGATTTAGAACGACAAATCATGAATTACCTATTGAAGCTGGTAGATGGTATAACACCAACAGACAAAAAAGAAACTGTACTCTGTGTAAAAAAACTTTATTTTGGAATGTCAATTTTTTTAACAGGAGAGGAAAAAATACATACAAAAATATAGTTACACCAAACCAAATATCTTAAAGTATAAATTATTGATGTCATCAAAAAAGAAAACAAAGCTTATTAAACTTTGCAAATTGATCAAAATCATAAATAAATTTGTGTGTACTCCAAGCTTAATCTAGTGTGGAGTCACCCCTATTATTGTTGATGAAATGTCTTGTACTAATTGTATTTATTACAAATTGTAGTTACTGATCGTCCATTATTGGATAGAACATGATGGACCCCGTTCGTATATACGTATATAATTCTGACGATTAATGTTTTCGATTTGATTCCTAAGTTCCTGTAAACGGCTTTCATAACCACTCCGTACTTCAGCATCTACTTCTTGTCGTATTTTGTGTTGTTCTGCAAGTATTTCTCGATTCTTTTTATCCTTCTCTTCGGCAATTTTTTCCTGGAGAATTTTCTCTGCTTTTGCGTAGTCATCATTTGTATAATAGGATCCTCCATTATCCTCCACCATTTTCTCTATAAGATTTATTAATCTTTTTACTTGCTCATCTGCTTGATTGCCCTCTAAAGTATTGTCGAATGCAATGTACCGATTATTGCATTTTTGAAGAAAGTTTCTGGGACATTCTACCAATGTTTTTATAAACAAATCAATATTAGTGCCTTCAACTCCTTCATCACGTTTCCAGTCATCAAGTCTGGTAAACAAGACTATAACATACTGCATCAAGGCTTCACCGAAATGGCTAACAAAATGATTGACAGTATTTACATCTTCTCCAGTAAACCGCCCAATGGGTACACATAAGATGATGGCATGTGGACCCGGCGTTGTAAGGTAAATGCATCTTTTTATTTCTTCTTGAGTGCTTTCATTTTTTTTCTTTGTGTCAAACACCCCTGGAGTGTCCAACACTTTAATTTCCCGTTCAAATCTATTTGTTATCCTTAATTGGCACTTTTTTGTTATTGAATCAGTTCTGCATCCGAATTGGAATTCCTTCTTTCCTAAAATAACATTTCCCGTTATACTTTTTCCACTTCCCGTCTTTCCAAGTAACACTATACGCATTTCATCTTCAGGGGCGTGTTCCATATTTCAAATATCTCCGTCTGACAGAATTAAAAATAAGAAATAATGTAAAAACTAGATATATAGCACAAATAATTCCCTTCCAGTCTTCTGAAATTCTTATTTTAAATTTATTCATTTTTTTTCTATCACTCGATTTATGACTTGTGAACAGCGGTATCCTACTGTTGCCTTTATTTTTAAACTCGATTTAGAGCTTGAATTATTGTTTTAACATGTACCTATTGTTGAAGACTATCTTGACTTCACGATTTTTTTAGATTATATGTACTGTTGAGTTCCTGTCTCACTGACGCATGTTGAGTTCCTGTCTCACTGACGCATTCATAGTTTTTCATTTGATATAGATACAAACAGTCATTAGCCAGTGCGAAAAAATACTAACAGTCCAGAATATGTGGTTCAATAAAATCCACCAATAACATATTTGAATATTTTTATCAACCGCAAACTTTATAGTCGGATAATATGATTACGAGAAAACCAGTGTCTTAGCTTGATATTAACGCCCTAAACACGGAATGGAAATGATACCACAAGTCTTTAATTGATGCTTTCAAAGAAAAAGGAAATATGTAAAAAAAATCATAAATTTTACAGAAAGACTTACCCGTTGTATAGTTCTTTAAAACAGTTTTTACAGATTCACTGTTAAACTTTATACTTTAAAGATCTGAATTTAAATTGCATAGTGTTGTATTTAAATAACAAATGAGTTCGGAATTTAAAGTTGTATTTTTAGCATTATTGGACTTTTAAACTTAATTCTGGAAATTCATATGTTATATTTAGACTGTACGTATGTTCGGAGGTTCGATGTTCTTTTCAGCCACTATTAATTTTCTAAAATCATCGTTTCTAAGTTAATAGTATTATATAATTACAAGAGTGCACACGCTGAAATGTCTCGCCTTCTTTACTAATCATTGATATTATGTTGATAGTCCTAAATATAAAGCTTTATTACAACTGTCACATAAACTTAACATTAACCAAGTAAACTAAACATTGACCAATGAACCATGAAAATGAGGTCAAGGTCAGATGAACCATGCTAGGCAGGCATGTACAGCTAACAATTCTTCCATACAACAAATATAGATGACCTATTGCTTATAGTTTAAGAAAAACAGACCAAAACTCAAAAACTTAACACTGAGCAATGAACCTTGAAAATGAGGTCAAGGTCAAATAAAACCTGCGTGACTGACATATAGATCATAAAATATTTCCATACACCAAATATAGTTGAACTATTGCATATAGTATTAGAAAAAAAGACCAAAACTCAAAAACTTAACTTTGACCACTGAACCATGAAAATGAGGTCAAGGTCAGATGACACCTGCTAGCTAGACATGTACACCTTACAATTATTCCATACACCAAATATAGTAGACCTATTGCATGCAGTAACAGACCAAAACACAAAAGCTTAACTATAACCACTGAACCATGAAAATGAGGTCAAGGTAAGATGACACCTGCCAGTTGGACATGTACACCTTACAGTCCTTCCATATACCGAATATACTAGACCTATTGCTTATAGTATCTGAGATATGCACTTGACCACCAAAACTTAACCTTGTTCACTGATCCATGAAATGAGGTCGAGGTCAAGTGAAAACTGTCTGACGGGCATGAGGACCTTGCAAGGTACGCACATACCAAATATAGTTATCCTATTACTTATGATAAGAGAGAATTTAACATTAAAAAAAATCTTAACTTTTTTTCAAGTAGTCACTGAACCATGAAAATGAGCTCAAGGACATTGGACATATGACTGACGGAAACTTCGTAACATGAGACATCCATATACAAAGTATGAAGCATCTAGATCTTGCACCTTCTAAAATATAAAGCTTTTAAGAAGTTAGCTAACGCGCCGCCGCCGCCGCCGCAACTATCAGGGGCGGATCCAGCCATTTATAAAAGGGGGGTTCCTAACCCAGGATAAAGGGGGGGGGGGGGGGTTCCAACTGTATGTCCCCATTTAAATGCATTGATCGTCAAAAAAGGGGGGTTCCAACCCCCTGAACCCCCCCCCCCCCCCCCCCTGGATCCGCCACTGACTATCCCTATGTCGAGCTTTCTGCGACAAAAGTCGCAGGCTCGACAAAAATAGTCACTAAATTCTTGCAGACTCAGGACACCTTTACTGACACAGCCTCTTGATATTTTTCTGAACAAAATACTAATGTCACATTAAATTTTTTTTATCGTGGTAACGGTCATGGAATGCAAAAGTTTCTTTCATTTTACAAAACTGAAAAGTAGCTTGATTTACTATTATCATCGTATATGGACGTTAAATTAAATGCAGTCTAAGGTATTTTTTTATAAGTTTTTACAATCACTGTTTGATGCCAGCGTTGATGAAAGTTTTGTTCCCGGGTCTGTCCCAATGATGCAATAGGCCAGATTTTGCACAACCGTTCTTAACTTTTGCTCTTCAACTACGTAACTAATTTAGCATTCTAACTGTTTTGATTTGAGTCCACGGAAGAGTCTTATTTGGATGAAAAAAACCTATAAATTAAGTATCTTTAATTTTAGACACACTGGGTTGAGGTTACTGTTTGTGAGTGGTTTAGTACCCTAGGATATCACCCGCTAAGTATTCAAAGCTCTTATGCCGACATGAAATATCATGGATGTGGTAATTTACTCTAAAAATATTTACTTTTCATAAAATGTCAAAACCATTAAAAACAATAACTACGATTTAGTAGCATATAGAGATAACTTTCGTCAGAAATGGGTCAACTTTTTGAAATTGTTGGTCTTCAGTGCTTTTCAACTTTGTAATTGATATGGCTTTCCACCCGTTTTATTGTAAAACTTGTGAATGTTATGTAGATAACATGCACGTTTGACTCACTTTATTACAATCTTTATATCTTTTCTAAATGGCTTATCAAAAATGGAACTTATCTGAGGTTATATAAACCTTATATGCATCGTGCGTAAAGAAATATTAAATACCGTTTTGTCACATGTTTTGTTAACTTTCCAAAGAAAATTCTATCTGGTTTACCAAAACGAGTATCCAAGCAGTAAGGAGGGTCGGATTCCTATCCCACCTCACTGGATCTGCCATTGAAATGATATATGAATATGCTGACCTGGTACTAACTGAAAACAATCCGCATCTCTGATTATATAAACCATAGATCGGTCATTATCGAAAAACATGCAAATTTCGATGAGGGAAAATTTGGAAAAATGATGTCATTGTTTTAAAAATTTAAATATGTCCTCCTATTCTATAATATGGTAGCAACTATATTCAGAAATACGCAATGGGAAAAATGAAGAGTTCCTTCAATTTTAACATATTTAGGTCATCCTCTGATAGAACCATGTCAATGGTGTTACCAATATAAAACATGCATTTAGTTACTAAAAAAATATTGTTTAATATCAAACAACTGTTACAATTTGTTGTTAGGGTTAAAATTACTACTTATTGACATTATTTTTATAGGTATGCATTCTATTTAAACATAAATGTCAGAGTAAATTGTTGTAAAAAAGTTGGCTGTCCTAATTATGGCCGTTGTAAATATTAAAAAAATACACTTAAACTGAATATATGTAAAATGTGTAAGACTGAATGATTAGATAATGCCTAATCCTTCGTATACGGCCTAAAAACACTACCATTTGTTAATAAAAAATAAAAATTATTGCATTTTTATATAGTAACACCACTGACCCTTCAGTAACTACAATGACACAAAAGTATCACCATTGACAACACATTTCAAATTTTACTTTTATTAAGTACTGAACACAAAACAAAGAAAACTGAGCAAAAGTAAAAGAAAAAAAATAATTCTTAGGCTAAAAAATATCAAATTATATAACATAACATCAATAACTAAAAATATCAATAGTGTTACTAAATAATGTCATTGGTGTTACCAGCATACACCAGTTTGTGAAAACTTTGTATATGTAATACATTTTATTGTTAAAACATTGTTAAATAAGTATCATATTTCATAAATGATATGATTTTTCGCTTGTTAAACATGAAAGAAACACAAAAAAAATGCTGATTGTCATAATATATTCAGTGGTGTTACTAAACTGGTCAGTGGTGTTATTTTATTAAAGTGGTCTCACCATTGAGTAATACCAATGGTTTACAGGTGTATTTTTAGATTTAGTTACAAAATAAGTGCTCCATTCCCCTATTTTATATGTTGTTCCTGGTGCATGTTTCTACAATCAATATCTTTCATAAATCAAAGTTCAGGAAATCTTTCGGAAAATCATTTTTATAAGGGTACACCATGGACATTATTTCATTTACGATATAGCTTTTACTTACTTTTAAGATTTTTTCACTAAATTTTCAACATTGATTTATTTTTTCTTTTGCATAAAATGCTTACAGTTTACATTGCTAGGGGAGAAACTATTGTAAATACTGAAATCTTGAGAAAGATAACTCTTACCCAACAAATTTGTCTTTTGGTTACACCAGTGACTTAAAAAAATGAGACTCTTCTTTTTGTTGAAAATTTTTATTATAAAACAAACATACACCTCCCAAATCATTAAAAAATGTTTGTATGTATCAAAATGCAATAAATAGTGATAAATCCTAATAACAAATGATATGAATAATAGTCCTATTTCAGGTCTGAAAGGTATTTTAGTAAAAAATAACAGTAAATTCTGGCTATATCCAAAGGTTAAAGAAAACATTAAGGATGTTTTCATAACATTTCATACTGTAAACTGTATATAGTGTATCACAAAACATTCATATCTAACATATACAAGTGTTATTTTGATATATTTTCATGTCTGTGACTTAAAAAGACCAAAATAACATAGTTTTACATGTTTTTTTGATAATGACCCAGATACACAAGTTTGAACTCCATTTTATCCTTTTGCCTCTAGACGTTAAGCAATTAACAACCAATCAATCCAATTTACTCCATTTATTAAGATAAATAGTAAAAAGTGTTTAATTATCCAATGAAAACATTTATTTGTCAAGCTAATGCATATGAATTCAATCAGTAATTTTGCAGGAAAGAAAAGAGATAAATGCATTGTTTTTTTTCGACTTTAAGTTATTTTTGTGTTCTTGTCATGTATATTTCGATTATGAGCAACAATTTTACCCAACAGATATTTGCTACAAAAAGTATTTTACAAAGATGTTAATATGTGTATGAAATATCTTTTTGGTAAAGATGCTGTTCATATATTTTTCGAGCAAACACCATGCGGATGAACTGGTTATTTTAGGTTAACTACGTAAATTTCGACATGTTTATAACGTGACATCACTAGTGAACTTTCTGCACTAAAGTGTCAAGATTATATTATCTTGTTCGCTTTTCAATGAAATTGATATAATTTTGAAAGTCTTGAATACATTTTTACTATTTTTGAGTCAAAATAATGGCACTAATCACACCTTCTCCTTTATCCTTCCCAATTATGACGTTTTGTCATTGAATACATAACATCTTGGACTTCGAAGCACATCCACGCCAACGATTTGCTTAAGTTTTCGGTTTCGGTCTATATCTAGGTATTGTACATCACCTACTAACGAAAAGTCATTCATGGATGTATCTTGGATAAGAATGAGCGTTTACATGTAATGACCTACACTTCCCACTTGGGTGATTGGTTACGTTTTCAGTTTGGG